TTTTGTTTTTTTTTTTAATGTAAAAAGTTCTATTGTCTATCTTATAAACTACACATAAGCCTTAAATAGACTTTAATAACAGGTCTCTAGCAAAGAAAATTATAAAACGTTAGTATTTGTGAAATAAATGACTGTTGCTCACATTTGTAATGTAGGTGTTTCCGGAAGCTGCTCACTGCCTATGTACCTATCACATGACACACAATTTGCATAAACATTTTCGAATACACACAGCCGAAGTGAAAGAAGCATTTGTCTACAGTAGTGAGGCATACACGATCGAGGAGTATAATAAACATATGTCCGATATTGAAAAACTAAACCCGAGTGTTATGCCTTTCCTGGAGGGTATTGGAATACACAAGTGGGCTCGTGTTCACTGTCCAAATAATAGGTTTTTCACAATGACCTCAAATGAAGTGGAAACAATAAACTCGGCCATTAGAGATGTGCGTGATCTTCCAATAACATTGTTGGAAGCATTACGAGCCTTACAATAAAAGTGGAATGTGGCAAATCGGGATGAAGCAAAGTCAACATTCACCACTCTAACAAAAAAAGCACACGGAATGCTAGAGGAAAACTATAAATTTGCGTCTATCCTATCTGTAAGTCCAAATTTATTAAATTATAAGAAAAAATTATATATTTTTGATAGTTTTTTCAACGTAATATTTGTGTGTGTACAGGTTCAGAAGGCTAATGATAAGGTATACAAGGTCGCGAACCAACGGAATGGGTATATTGTGAATCTAGAGTCAAAGACTTGCACTTGCAATCGATTTCAAATGGATGAATTGCCATGCTCGCATGCCATTCGCATTATTAGATCCCTCCACCTCGATCCCATACCGTTTTGTTCTGTTTACTGTCTAACAAGAACTATGTTGGCAACTTACGAAGATCCAGTTTTTACCTGTAGAAGGAAATGATTCAGTCAATATGGAAATGCCTACATCAGAACGAACAGTCAACCCCCCCATTGGGAGAGTAAAACCTGGCCGACGACGCAAACAACGGCTAAAAGCAGGGTGGGAACCTCGGACGAAAAATAGTTGTAGCAAGTGTGAGGAGAAATGGCATAACATGAAGACTTGTCCTAATCCCAAAAAAATCAGGATGTAGTAATGTAATGTCGAATTTGAATTTTGAAGTTTATGTTAGGTTTGAAGTTTATGTTAAGTTTTTAAATCACGAAAGTTTGTGTTGGTACATTGTTGGTTTATGTATACCATTTTAAAGTTTATTATCTGGTTTCTAAATTAAAAAGTTTTGTATTGGTATATTTTGGTTTATGCATACGATTATGAGGTTTATTTCGGGTTTATTAATTAAGAAATTTTTTGATTAGTTCATATTTACGATACCATACTAGATTTAAACACATGTTTATGTATATTATATGTCACGTTTAAGACTTATAACGGTGTGTCCATGTTTTTGTATTGTATTGCCTTAAGATGGAAACGAAAGTAAATAAATTAAATTAAGGTTCCACATAATTATTCACAAATGAATGATAGATCATTTCTTATCATGGGGATATAAAAACAAGTATTGTATATGTTGAATAACCCAAAAGACATCAAACGAATATAAAACCAATGACTGCACGTAGACATCCAACATAGTAAATTTCAACAATAAAAGGACTGGACTATCAACCAATCAGCCGTCAAATTACGTTTATCCACAACCGGTATCGAACCAGGTGATTCATCCTCGCTCTCGCATGATTCGTCTTGTTTCATCTTGTCATGCTTGTACAGAATACATGCATACCTCAGCCGCTCTAAATCAACATCATAATCTATCGGGACGTTGATATTACCTAAAAAATGCTCACAAAAGACGATACAAATACTCCACAATCCCTACAATGGAAAAAATAAAATTGGAGATAAGTGTCATTCACTACGTATTCGACATTATGCAAAAAAAGGTTAAATGAATCTAAACGTGTACGTAAAAAAAAAATTACACGTTTTCTGTTGAGTCAGGTTGTCGACCACAACTATATCAAGTGGATGATATATCCCCTTCCTCATGTGGCTACTAACACCATTCTTTGACTATGTTCTATTGGAATAAAACTTAACCAAGTCAAGAAAAATTGGGATCAGAATAGATTAGTATTCAACGCTTTTCACCACATCCTTATTGGACTCTGTTGAACAAAATGAAGTAGAGATTTACAAAGTCCTCTCGAAAAAAGTCAATCGTCCCATTATCCAAGTTCAACATGAATAGGTATGGTTCACAAGACCAGCCCCCCACGACAATGCACAAATCATCTTCAATACCATAATGTAATCGACAATGATATTGTCAACAAAACACACCCCAAGATCGCATAAATTATAAATATATGAAAAATATACCGATTTAATCGTTCAAATGGACATTTGAATCAGAATTTTTGAATTTTTTTCCAAATTGAATTTTTTTTCTGCACCAATTTCCGTTTGCAGGAGGGTTTCTTCTTGTGGCTACGCGGACTCGATCGTCTCTGTAGTACATCCTCTCAACCATGATCAAGGCTTTTCGATGATACATCAATCTTCTTCGCAATGGACAATCCAGAGCAAAAAGTGATTTTTGGGTGCTCTTCTTTGTTTTGAGAAATTGAGAAAATGTTTTGGGAGAAAAAAAAATTTGGGCACGATTCCTATTGGTTTTGAGATTCCGATAAAGATGCAACCTTTGATATCCCACACTAAATAAAAAAAACGTATTGATTTTGTTTTAATATTAAAGCTATTAATCCCATCTCGTAAAAGTGCAAATTTGTATAATTTATCGATTAGAAATATAACTCATTGTAGGAGTAATTTCCTCATGATAGTATGAGGGTGCAAAAAAAGACATTAAAAACGTGAAAATAGGCACGGGGACTATGGGCTGATTGATTATCAGGTCCAGTGGGCGCCCAAATATTATATGGAAATTAATTCGTACAACCCAACCCAAACAAATCATCGTCACATTCTCAAGTTATCGTCACTTCATCTCTATTCTAATTTCTAAGCTTACAACAATGGAATCTTCCATAAAATCCTCGGTGGGCCCACTCCCCAACCCGCTCCTTTCCCTTTCCAGTTTCATCCGCGGTCTTCGCACTCAACTCACCAATCGACTCGACGACACCAGGCGGCTCGCCGCCGCTTCTTTCCCCGCCTTTCTGCAACCGACGCCGCCGATATTGTTGCCTTTTGCCTCCGTGTCGCAGCGCCATGGCAAGCCGACTGCCACCGCGTCTGAAGCTTCGCTTAGCATGGAACATGTCGCGAGGAGGCTCATCGGAACTTCAGTGTACACCGTGAGCAACACTAATAATGAGTTCGTGCTGATATCTGATCCAGATGGGGCTAAGTCTATTGGTCTGCTTTGTTTTCGCAAAGAAGATGCCGAAACTTTTCTTGCTCAGGTAACATAATCACGCAATTTTGTTTTCATCATCATTAATTGATATTTGCAAAAGTACAAACACTACAATTAGTGTTTAATTTTAAAAAAAAAACAAAGGTTCTTTTGATTAACATTTTCAATATTTTTAAAAATTGCAGTTTTATTTTGTAATGACACATTACATTTTCTAATCTTATACTATATTAATGTAAAAGTCCTTGTAGGAATGAATAAAAGTGTAGATTTATATAAACTATTAAAAGTACAAAAATATATGGTGAGTGATTTTCATTTGTGCAAGCTTATGTATTCCCTTTGTAGTCATGCTGTGCTGCCTTTGCATTATTCATTTCTGTACAATGACTAGCAAGTGATGTGTTTCTGGCTGCTTGAGTCGAATATGATTTGCTGAACTATTATAATGTTCTACACCATTACTTATGTTGATCCAGGTGAGGTTAAGAAAAGGAGAGCTTAGAGGTGGTGCCAAAGTGGTGCCAATAACTCTTGACCAGGTTGGTATATCTTGTCGACCAGTGAGTGAGTGGATGGTAACTGGGTTGTTGCTTAAGTTCTAATGCTTCATGGTAATTGAACTCAAATAGATCCGAATTTTTGTTTATGGTCAGGTGGACTTAAAATTCAATTCCAAGGAACATCTTGCATTCGGAAATTTTCTTGAGAAAGATATACAAGAATAGTGTGAAATTAGGTTGGGGTTTATACTGATCACTTTACCTGACAAAAGATAGTCAAAGAACTATATAATGTGTTTTTCAGTAAAATACTTTTGACTAAGTTTATCAGGGTGATATCCATTGTCAGGGTAACTACAGAAAATATGGTTGGTTATGTGGATCCATAAAACTTTTGTTGCGCAACCTAATTGCTGTTTATTTTTATGTTTCCTTTGGTAAGCTTTATTGGTCAATCTGGCCAAAATCTCTCTACGGACCAAATGGTTTCTTACATCATTCTCAAAAATTAACTGTATTATTTCTGTTTGTTGTGTCTTGTATGCTGTACAATTTACATTGTAAGAAGGATTTGCCTTGTCTCTCAACCATAAAAATCTTGGCATGGATTTTGACTCCCTAAAATGACAGGTTTACATGTTGAAAGTTGAAGGGATAGCATTTCGTTTTTTACCTGATCCAGTTCAAATAAAGAATGCATTGGAGGTTGGTACCTCTTCAATTTTTATTTTTATTTTTTGTTTGGTTGCGCTCATGATCCAACTGATCTTCTGGATTCATTTGTGATGACCTCCGATTAGAGGTCTTGTTAGTCAGTGAAAATATTGAAATGAATTTCCCTCATATTTTTTGTTAACATAGGCCCATAGCTTAAAAACAAGACAGCATATTTGGTCGTTGAACTGATAACATGAGTTTTTGGTTTAGTGTATTTCACAATTTGCTCTTTTAGATATTCTTAGATGTAGCCATGTGTTTGAGAGTAATCCACATGTTAATTGGAGTTCTGCGGCCTAAGCAATCTATCGTGAAAGTTATATTCTGTATCCTTTTTCTTTTTTCATAAATTATTATTTTCAGAATTAGATCAACTGATTTTGGATTGTGGGGGAACAATTTATAAATATTGGTAAGTGACTAGGTCTACTGGCGATTGCAAGAATGAGTGAGATAGGTTAGTGACCAATAATATTCAAGAGTTCATAACTATCCCTAAAAAACAAGAAAGAAGAGAAGTGTTAAAAAAGAAAGTTCAGAGGAGATTAATAAAGATAAGTAACAGAAAAAAATGATAAAAAGAAAATGAAATAGCCTGATAGGAAACTATGTGTCAGATATAATGCATGGGCAAGGTTGTGGAGGGTTTGGGGGAGTCATGCAAATACTAATATCTTACATTAAGTATCATGTGTTTGAATGTAATTCTAGTAAATGTTTAAACATCTCATGTGCAGTAATGAAAGTTGATTTACGGTTTCATTAATTATGAGAAACTGTTGCCCATTCATTTGAATGGACAAATTTATATAGTGTAGTAGCAAACTTAAATCCATACTTTTCGGTTAAATTTTTTTGTCCTGCAAGATAACTTAGTTGGAATTTATCTGATTCCACATATCATTACACTTTTTGTTCCCCACTTAGAAAAGTATACATGGTTTTTCTGTTTCTCAATAGTTTATGTTAATTGTCTGTTGGTGGTTGCAACTTCTCTGTGATCAGATTTGTAGCAAGTTTGACATGTTTCATGTTTTTTCCTTGTTAGATACGAGCATCAGATGCTGTGAATGGATTTGATGGAGTTCCTATTTTTCAGGTATATGGCAATAGGCACTTGCTTGTACATCTCATTTTATCTTTCTTATTTTCACATATTTTATTGCTGCATCGTGTACACTCTCATTACTTCTGCTTCTATGAAATCTATATGTAAATAAAAATAAACGATTTATCTGCTGCATATTACTTTAGTGGTTCCAAAAGTAATCATTTACATTGGAGAGAAATAGGCTACTGACAGTTATGCTAATACCCTTTTTAAGTCCATTAGTTTTGTGGATAAAAGATTTAAAGTATGCCTGATGTGGTAAATCTTAACAGTTTATCAGTTTGTTGGTTAAATATTTAAAAGATTACCGATCAAAAGAAAAAAAAAAATTTAAAAGATGACATGCTGTAAATTTGTCAAAGACTCATTCTTTTTTTAATTCATTTGATAATTTTTTATTTTTTTTTTGTTCGTTTGAAAATTTTCTTTCTGTTCCATTTTTTTTAATCAATTAATTAGTCTTTCATATCGTAATGGAGAAACGGTGAAAGGGAAAGGGACTGGCAAAGCATCTTAAGTGGGAACTGACTTACCCATGCATGCTTTTGCGAATATTTTTTAATTGTCTAATTGACCTGGGCTGGATGTGTATTCGTGCATGTGTATAAACAATCACAACATAAGATCGACCACATATTTTGACATCCCTTGATTGCTCGGGCACTTGTTATTGCACCACGAAGACATGATACATCACACTTTAGGTGCGCGCACACACAATGTAAGATATAATCTGCTGTTTTTTCCAGGCAGCTTCTTTGGTAGTGCAGCTGTAACTTCCTTGCAGCTGCAAAGCACTTTCATGGCAGCCATTTTGGGTTGATTTTTCATGACTTTTCAACTTAAGTAATTTCTAGGAAAGTCACTAGGATAGTTGTTTTTAGTTCTTATAAATAGGTATGCAGTTTTTGTTTTGTACACACAGAAAAACTTAATACTCAATACATTGAGTTGTTCACAATCTACTTCTTTCATCCTAAAAGTGTTTGTTTGTGCTGGAAGCATTTTTGCTTACCTGAGCAGTGAACGAGCAGGGACTAACAAGTGGTATCAGAGCCATGGCAAGCTAAGATGTTGCGTCGATGGTGCAAGGGAGTGGAGCAGACGCTTCTTCACCACGCCAGGAGGTCATCATCCACAGGACCGTGCGGGACGTTGGCGGGGCCAACTGGCCGGTCCTCACACGCACAAACTACGGCGAGTGGGCGGTGCTGATGAAGGTCAAGTTGCGTGCGCGCAAGCTTTGGCGGGCCATCGAGGAAGGCACCGAGGATGAAGAAGAGGACTGTGCAGCGATGGAAGCGATTCTGTCCGCTGTGCCTCACGAGTACGTGGAGTCGCTGGGCACAAAGGACTCCGCAAAGGCTGCTTGGGACGCCCTCAAGGCCATGCGCATCGGGTCTGATCGCGCAAAGAAGGCGAAGGCGCAGCAGTTGCGGCGGGAGTACGAGGCGCTGACATTCCGCGACAGCGAGGCAGTGGAGGATTTCTCGCTCCGTTTGCAGTCGCTCGTCAGTCAGCTGGCGGCACACGGCGTCACCATCACCGACGAGGAGGCGGTCGCATAACACTTGCGCGTCGTGCCGCCTAAGTATGCCCAGATAGCGCTCTCCATCGAGACGTTGATCGACATGTCCACCCTCACGATTGAGGATGTGACTGGGAGCTTGCGGGCAGTGGATGACCGCGTGGAGGCGGCGACGATATCTACCAGCTGCAAGTTACTACTGACCGAGGAAGAATGGGCAGCTCGTATGCGCGAGCGGCGACCCGGGGAAGGCTCCTCTAGCCGTGGCGGCTACGGCAAGCGCCGTGGCAAGGCCCCGCAGAAGAAGGACGGCAACAACGCGCGTCCGATCGACAAAGACACTTGTCGACGCTGCGGGAAAACTGGGCACTGGGCCCGAGATTGCAAGATTCTCAAGAAGGAGAAAAAGGAGCCGCACCTCGCGCAGGTGGACGATGAGGAGCCATCTCTTCTCATGGCGAAGTTCTGCACGTCGCATGACGTCGAGCCAGAGTTAGAGAAAGTCAAGGCAGTGGCTGCGGAGCAGGGAAAGGCACTGCAGGCAGTTCACCTCGACGAGTCGAGTGCTCAAGTCCACCTTGGACGAATGGGCGGTGGCATGGAGCAGAGGTGGTACCTGGACTCCGGCGCCAGCAACCACATGACCGGCTCCAAGGAGGCCTTCTCCGAGCTTGATGACGGCATGACGGGGACGGTGAAGTTCGGCGACGGCTCGAAGGTGGAAATTCGAGGTCGCTGCACTGTCATCTTCCGGTGCCAGAACGGCGAGCACCGTGCATTGACGGATGTGTACTATATCCCGCAGTTGCGTTCAAGCATCATCAGCATCGGACAACTGGACGAGCACGGCTGCGAGGTGCTTGTCAAAGGCGGCGTGCTAAAGCTTCAGGACAGGGAACAGCGGCTGCTGGCTAAGGTCCAACGTTCCCGGAACCGCCTCTACCTCCTCGACTTGAAAGTGGAGCAACCGGTGTGCTTGGCGGTACGGCACACTGAGGAGCCATGGCT